TATGTTGTACTCACATTATCATGTACTTGTAGAAACTGTCTAATTTCTTCTTTAATTTCCTCTGTGACCCATTGGTTGTTCAGGAAGGTGTTATTCAATTTCCATGTGTTTGTGGGAGTTTTGCGGTTTCTTATGTAATTGATCTCTAATTTTATTGCACCATGGTCTGATAATATATAGGGGGTAACTTTAGTTCTTTTACATTTACTTAGACATGTCCTATGAGCTATCATGTGATCTATTTTGGAGAATGACCTGTGTGCAGCTGAAAAGAATGTGTATTCTGACTTTGTGGGGTGGAACACTCTGTAAACTTCTATTAAGTCCATTTATTCAATAGCTTAGTTCAGTTCTAGAATTTCATTGTTAAGTTTTTGCCTACATGATCTGTCTATTGTAATAGTGGGGTATTGAGGTCCCCCTTTATAATTGTTTTAGTGCTTATTTGGTTTTTCATGTCCATTAATATTTGTTTTGTATAGTTGGGGGCATTCATATTTGGTGCATATATATTTATGATCATCATCTCTTCCTCTTGGATTGTTCCCTTCACAAGGTTGTAGTGACCATCTTTGTCTCTCTTAATTAGTTTTGGTTTGAAATCTATTTTGTCTGCAAATAAGATTGCTACCACTGATTTTTTCTGGGTTCCTGTCATGTGGAGAACTATTTTCTATCCTTTTACTTTCAGTCTATGAATTTCTTTTTGAGTTAGGTGTGTTTCTTGTATACAGCATATTGCTGGGTTTGTGCCTTGCTTAAATGTCTTCTCATTTCTACTTTTGTTGTTGGTATTGTCCTTGGTTTAATTCCTTGGTTGATACTTCAATATGGCTTATTGTAAGTATCTTTGTTACTTGTATTTAAAACTCTTACAGAATGATTGCTTCTCAGAAGTGTCTTCCAGATATAGCTGGTCTTTAGGTTTTGAGTCCCTAATGACTCTAAAGCTATCTCATTTTCATTATACCAAGAAGGACAACTGATTAGATCAATCATAACACCTTAACCCAAATGATTCAATCAGCAAAACAATAGCATCAAGTACCTCTTAGAAAATGACAATTTGTGGTAGTTACTAATCTATCACCTTTAACTGTGTGAATTAAGTCAAAATTAAGGATCAACCCAACATGTTTATAGTGAATAAACTCTTTAATATAGCAACTTTACCCTTTGGAATGGGGAGTTAGAAGGAGTTGGGAGGGAGCAATAGGTAGATAGGAGGATAGGGGAACATTAGCAGTGAGGACAGAGAACATAGGTGAAAGAAGGAAAGAAAAGAAAAGAAAAATAAAGAAGAAATATGAATTAGGGCCAGAACAGGAACACAAAAGGAGATGAAGAACAATGTGGGGCAGCCAGGGAGTTAGGGAGAGAGAGAGAAAGAAAAGAGAAAAGAAAGAGAAAAGAGAAAAATAAAAATTTTAAGAGTAGAAAAAGAACAATAAAATGAAAAATAAGAGCAAAAACAATAGTAGTAATTTTGAAAATAACAAATAAAAGATAAAAATGAATGGCCTCCTTCAGGGTATGTCTCTGCTGTCACAATAGACAATGTGGGCAACAGTGTGCAGTTATAAGTCAATGAGTCTCAGTAAACCAGTCACAGACGCCTGAAATTCAGGCAGATTTCTGGCTGCTAGTCACAAGTTGAGCTCCCTGGCCTCCTGTAGGGTTGAACTCTGCAAGGTTCTATTGCAGGTTCTAGCTGCTTTTCCCCTGAAGATAGTCCAGTTTCTGATCCCTCCACCTTACCAAATAGGGTGGTCTGGTGTGCCTTTATTGCAGAGATTCTCTTCACTTTTCCAGTGGGCTTCAGTTTTCATCAGGGAGCCTAAGAGAGGCCCTCTATCTATTGTTCACTTCTGCAGCTTAGGACAATGACCTTTATGTCCCCCTGTGCCTCTGTAGTGTGCAACAAGGTAGCTGTACACCCAAGAGGCCAGAGGCAGTGGGGGTGGGTGGGTGGGGGTGGGCTATGCTGGGAGCTGATGGGCGTGCCCGGGTGGGTCCTCACTGTCTCCTGGTCGCAAGTGGGCATGGTGAGCCGGACAGAGCAGGGCTCCAGTCAACCTGGGTCCGCTCTGCCCATGCTGGTACCTAAGTTCCATTTTATTTATTTCTGCTCTAATTTTTATTCATTTTCTTCTACTAATATGGAGCTTGATTTCTTCTTGTTTTCCTAGGGATTTGAGGTATGTTATGGCTTATGTGTAGTTGTCCCCCCAAAGCCTCATTCAGTTATAGGTGGGACTTTTACAGAAGAGGCTGGATCTAGGGTGTGTGATGCTAGGATTAAGGGTGTGTGGTTAGTAAATTAGTCCACTGATTGGTTTGGCATAGTTCTGGGTAGGATTGAGGGTGTCCCATCCTGAGTGTGAGTGATATCCACCCTTAGGGTGGATAAAAATAAAAGCGACAAAAAGAGGGTAGTGTGGTTGGTTGTCACTTGTAGCTCACTTGCTTGGTACTGTCTGTCTTCTGTCCTCTGCCTGCCATGAACTGTTTCTCCTCTGTGATGCCCCTCTGCCATGTCACCCTGCCTTGCAGCCAGCCAACTATGAACTGAAACCTCTATGAACTTTGAGCCAAATAAACCTTTCCTCCTTTAACTTTGGGTGTTGGATATTTTGTCTCAGCAATGAATAAAGTAACTAAGACAGGGTATAACATGGGTTGTTTATTTAAGATCTTTCTGATTTTTTAAATGTAAGTACTGACTGTTATAAACTTCCATCTTAGTACAGCTTGTGCCTTTTTATAGAGAAAAGTTTTACAGTTTTATTTCAGGTTCTTGAAAGGATGTGTGATTTGGCCCAAGTATTAAGAAATGCTGCCCTTCATCCTACTTCGTCTGCAAAAGACTAAAAAAGGAAGTTAAATTACTGAATATAACTTAAAATCACCATTAAAATGTTCTCAAATAAATATATAGCTTTTTCATTAATATATAGATTCTCCAAAGTACCATATTTATGTTTATTATTCATCCCACGATCAGTGCTAGGTGACCTGCGCTTATTTCATTTCAAGATACATAAAGAATGAGACACACAGAGAGACTGTTATTTCTGTAGGATGGTAGGAAAAGGAGCCAAGTCACTTTATCAAAATTGATTGAATCTGCAATAAATGGGTCTCATGCATTCCATTTTTCAATAATTTTTCACTGGGTCCTTTGGAACTTCTCTGATGAATTTTCCATCTCTTTTCTGAATGCTTTTTCTTAGTTCGTTAGCTGATGCTCTAAGGAAACAGTTGCATTTTGGAAGCTTATTACATCCTTAAGGTGAATCAGCTCAAAAACACATTATTTCCTTAAGGGAGACAGGAAAGTAAAAGGCATCAATTTCTAGCATAGGAATGACAACCACTTAAAAACTGACAGTCAATTTACAGATGTACTTAGAACAGAAAGTATCTGCGGACAAATAAGTCATCCATTTTTAAAAGTACACAAAGAACATAAAGCCCACCTTGAAAGAAAATTGAAGAGCTCTTAAAAGAAATGTGGAGGGTTGAATTATAACCTGTGCTCTACAAAAGTCCCTTATGTCTAATCCACAGATGTATTATAAATTCCCAGAGTTGTCTTTTTCATTAGGTATACAATATCGTCTTACTCTGTCCACAATACTTTCAGGACCCATGAAAATACTTTAATTTTAATTTCCTTTAAAATCAGAAGAAAAATAACTATAATAATGAATATATAATAATGAATCCAGTGTGGATCATGCTTGTAGTTCAATGCAGTTAAAAGTATAATTTGTACTTTTTTCTAATGGAAGAAGGGGCCTATGATAGCAAAAGTGCCTATGTTCCATTAAAGGCATACTGAGACTTTGGAAATAATTATCTATTCAACATGATGATGGATCTGTATTTATGCATATACTGTACCTTGGCAAGGTAGTTTGATTTGTGTTTATACATAGTTTTTCAGCATTGTTTAGAACAGATTATATTCACTCACCTGAATAGAAGATGAGATGCATATCTTCTTCGTTTATGTGCTTCTTTCTTCCTATTGCTTCATTGTGGCTCTTCTCTATAAACTTCTTTCATGGGCTCAGTAGTGTTCATTCTCAACTCAGCATTAGATCTACCATTGGTGTTTTCATTTTAGATCTGAGTTCAAACTCTCTCAAGACTATCTACTGGAGCATCCTTAAGTCAAGTGTCCACATATGTCCAACTTCCCCTCACTCAGAGCACAATCTTTCCCAACTTTTCTTTTTTTTGGTACCTGGGATCGAACTCGGGTCCTTGCACTTGTGAGACAGGCAGCATAACCACTGAGCTGAATCCCCGGCCCCATTTCCCAACTTTTCTGCATCCCCCTCAATCCTATGGTACATATGGCTGGCCCTTCTATGAGACATACATGCTAATGAAATGCCTTTTACTATATAGTTTTAATATGAACCTACTATACTTATAGCAGAAAACAATAATAGGAAGAATGAGCCTAGCAGTACATAGTAGCCTTACTACAGTATAATTATGTTATCATAATTTCTCATGTCCTTGTTGTCATTTTGTCACATATTCAACATGTGGGCAATAGAAAGTTCCTCTCCAGGAAATGCTATTTATAGAGACTATTTCCAGTAGAGGAATTTTTCAGTTAAGAGCCACATTGTATAATCATGTAGGACTCCTGCTTGGAGACTAAGCCATTTTCTGAAGATGAAAAGATACCCTACTGAGTCCTTTTAGCTAGATGAATGACCCATCTGAGCAAGTATCCATACCATATATGTTTCCTGTCACTTTGAGATATTATTACACCTTCTTCATTAATAATTATGTATTGGGAACATCTGAGTAGATGTGACATTAATAGCAAGTTGAATTTTATTTAATTATCACACTGTCACACACATTTCTACATAGAATTTTAATACTCAATAAGCACAATATTGTTTCATTATAAAGAAGTATGATAGGTGCATAGCAATTTGGTGCTACTAAGACACTTATTTGCTATCTCAAATAATACGAACTCTGAGATTCAAAACATTTTCATCTGTCCTATTTTTAATTTATATGTGCCACTCCTATTTAAAATGAAACACAGAAAGGATTCAGCTCTTTCTTGACCAGAAGAAAGACTAATCATAAAGACTAATCAATGACAGTTGTTCTTCTTTCACAATTATCTTACTAACCATGAAACAGAAAACATTCTGTTTTAGGTATTGTATCAACTAGTGTTAAGTTGTGAAGAACAGAATCTATTCAGTAAGTTTAAAAGACATTTCTCACAGAGTATTTTATGGTTTACTGTACCATGAGGAGACAAAGTATTGCCCTCCAGGCTGGCCTTCCAAGACCAACTCCCAAAACCAAACTGGGTCAAGGGGGTGGTTGCCTCTGCAAAGGTCAAGGAACTGCACACTCAAGAAACTGATATTCCAGGTGTCTGTTTCTGAACCCACTGCTTCTTTGTTAGTACCAGCATGGCAGCCTGTGTCTCTTCCTGTGTGGCTTAGTTCTAAATCAAAGTCTCATCTGATCATACTTTTCTTGTGTGCAATTCTGGCTACAAGGAAGTGTAAGAATTATATTTTATAGCTTTCTGGCCTCTCCATCCTAAAAGGGAGGATGAAGGCTGAATGAGCTAATTTGGAGTACTTACCAGGGATACATAATAGGTGATACTAAAAGGTCAAGTAACATTAGGTACTATGAGTGTTCTGCAAGATGAGCAAACATTTCTAACAAATTTTAACTTGATAAACAAGCAATGTCTTGCAATATCAGTACTATGTGACTCTAAATGTCACATGATCACAATTGAGCCAATGGTTCCTTTCTTTCTCTCTTGCTGTTGGATTGTGGGTAATTGTCTCCCAAAAGTAAGAACTTACGGAAGCGATCTCATCTGCATAGGGGGAGAAAAAGGTGGAGGAATCCCTTATTTCAAATGAGATAAGGGAGATGTGTAAAATGTGGGAAATAGTGCAAAATTTTATAGAAAAGCAACACCCATATAAGGCTGTAGCAGTGCAAGTGATGAATTTGTTTAATGACAATGCAATGTCACATTTCTATGAAATCCTCAAAAGGGGACAAAGGCAAGTGTCACTGGATAGGTTCCTTGTTAAAGTTGCACTATAAGAAAAAGATTCCATGAGTCAATAGATAGCAGTGATTCCATGAGTGATAGTGAAAGCTGTCCTATACAATAACCCTGCTCTCTCTTGTCTCCCTCACATCAGCCATGAAGATTTTTAAAGGTAAGTGCAGGCTAATTTTTTAATATATTTTATATTTTCTTTATTATTTTGTATGATATTAGAGTATTAAAATAATTTCATATGAATATTTTTGGGTTGTGGAACAAATTATCTGAGTTTCCATTATTTCTTATAGGGAAATTCACTTTGATACACAAGTTCTTTGAATTACAAGCATGTTATTCCAGAAAAATTATTCTGGCATATCCCTAATATTAATAAGTGATTTAATATGTGTAATAAACATCATGAACTGCGTACTTCTAAAATAAAAGCAAGGTCCTTGACAATGACCTAGATCTAATGAAACATCCCCAATATACCCCTACTCTATGAAACATCACCTTAAATTTTATGTTTTATTGCTGTACACATATTCTTAAAAACTACCTCTTATTTTAGTTATACCTATATCATCATAAAACCATACAGCATATAATCTTTTGGTATTTAATTTTTCAGTTTATATATTGGTGAATTCATCCATTTTTTGTAGTTCACTGTACATTCATTTCAACTGCTATGTTCTTTTGCTGAACACAACAATATTCTATTACATGAAAATTCATTAATTTTTCTCTCAGTAGGTATTTGGGGTCCTTCAAGATTTTGCTACTTTAATCAGTACTATGATAAATATTATTGCATATATGCTAGACACTTTCGGAGTGTCTTAGTCATTCTGTGCTGCTATAACAGAACATTCAAGGCTGGGTAATTTATAAAGAGCAGAGATTTCTTTCTTATAGTTCTAAAGGCTGGAAAGTCTAGGATCAAGGGCCTGCATTTGGTGAGGGCCTTTTTGCTGAGTCATAGCATGGTGGGAGGCATTATATAGCAAGAGAAAGAAAGAGAGGAGCCAAATTGGCTTTTATAATAAAAATATTCTCACAATAATGGCATTAATCTATTCTTGAAGACAGGGCCCATATAACCTAGCAACTCTTAAAGTTTCCACTTCCCAACACTGTTGCATTAGGGGTTAATTTCCAACACATACATTTTGAGTGACATGTTCAAGGCATAGGAGAGGGCATTTACCAAAGATGAAATTGCTGAGTGCTATGGTTTAGATCAAAAATATTCCCCTAAAACCTCATGTGTTTACAGGTGGAGCTTTTGGAAGGTGAATAGATCATGGGGGAAACTATACTCCTCAAATGGATTAATCCATTGATGAGTTCTTAGCTGAATGTGCTACTAGGAGGTATAGATCTGGTTGGAAGAGGTGGGGCCACTGGTGGCCTGACCTAGAAAGGTATAATTTTGTATCTGGTTCCTCATTTCTCTCTTTCTGTCACCTGGTTTCCAGGGGTACAGAAGCTTTCCACTTCCAAGGCCTTCCATCCTGCCTTTTTTAACTTGGAGCCAGCCAATCATGGATTGAAATGTCTGAAACAGTGAGCCAAAATAAACCACTCCTCCTTTAACTTGTGAGTGATGAGTATTTTGTCTTAATGATGGGAAAGTAACTAATACAGAAAATTGGTACCAGAAGTGGGCTCATTGCTGTAACTATACCTGAGGTTCAGAAGCCTGTGGAACTGGTTTGTGGGAGGAGTTTTGAAAGATATGGAGAGGCTAGATAGAGAAGCTCTAGAATGTTGTAAGCAGATATTGATAGGAGATTCTGTTCAGAATTCAGAATACCAGAATGCTGATAGGAATGTGGACAATGTAGAAAAGTAACATAAAAATGTTTTGCTGTGGAAAACAGGCCTGAACAAACTCATATATATCCTGTGGCCAGAAAATGGTCTTATCAAAAGGAGCTGTTTTGCCCCATACTGATTATTACAGAGGCTGTCTGCTCTGTATCAAAAATAACCTATTGTTCAATCATGCTGAATGTAACAAACCCCTACAGCCCCGGTATGAGTCAAGAACCACATAAAGGCTTTCTCCTCCAGTCCCTTTGTTGGTTCCCTCTCTTGACTGATCTACTGTCTCTTGGAGCATGTATTTTAATAAATTTCCTTCTTCACTTTTTTTCTACTCTTGGTTATTTCCTTTACCTTATATGTCACTCGCCCACTGCATGCTATCTTGCAAAGTAGACTGAAAATGTGAGA